CACTCTAACCTCTCAGCCCGAATCTGCTTTATTTCTCTTCATAGCACTTACCACATGTGTTTTATTTTGCTGGTGTCTGTCTACCCTAATAAAAAGTAAACTCCACAAGGTAGTAAACTCTTGTTTTGTTCACTGATGTATCCTCAACACCAAAACCATGCCTGGTACCAGGAAAGTACACAGTACCTCTTCAATGACTGAACTTATAGGCTGAGTTAGCAAAAGTGCATTCTTCAGTGGAAAATGTACTCATCTGCCATACTTTTCAAAATTTCAATAAGCAAAGAGTTAGCAATTTGGACAGAAAACAAGTCGGTATTTTACAAAACTGCCTTTCATCAAAAAGACCACAAATTTATAGGACAAAATACATTTGTCACATTATGGACCTAAATCCAGTTGAATATTGTAGTTAAATATTAACTATGAGGTTAACATTCACGCTGGATAATCAAGTCTGATTGCTCTCCATCAAACTGCTCTCTTAATCTCACATCTTAATAAGTAGATCCATATGGATGTGGACCTCTTACAGGTCCTTTAAATACTCAAAACCCTACTCATCTTTAATGACAACATGCTTCAAATGACAACAACATCCATCTCACGCCCCAAGGAACCTGCATATTTCTCCTACCCCAGGTGAGTTCCTCAGCCCTAAACTCTACTTCCTAGCTATCTCAGACCCATCCCCTCTGCTCCACTCCCTGTGCATTAGTCACTTCTCAGTTGGGGTCCTCACCTGGAATCTCCCTTCCATTCAGATCTCCCTTTTGATGTAGTCAATACAATGCTACCAAAGTGATCTCTCTATAATACAAATCCAACGTCTTTACCCCTCCTTAAAAACCTCCAGTGACTTCATGTACCTTCCAAGAATATTTTCAACTCCTGACTTAGCCTCATCCCCCATCACTGCCCTCCTATTCCCACCTCCACCACATTGTGCTTTAAGATAATCCAGCCACAGTGAACTCCTTAGTTTCCAAATACATCATTACCTTGCTTTCCTTTATTTTCCAAATGTTGTCTCCTCTCTATCTAAAACACTCCTTTCTACCCTTCTCTGCCTAGTGAACGTTTAACTCTCTGCTTAGATGTCAATTCCAGAGGACTTTCCATGGGTCTCTCTGACTTAGATATCCTCCCACAGGACTTACAATTACCATATATTGAATCAATACTCTTATAATTCAATATGCACTATGTTTTGTTTTCTCTGTCTTCTACTACACTGTGAGCTCCCTGAGAGCAGGTGTATAGCTTATTCACCTTCATTCCACACGGCCTGACACATGCAAGGGGCTGTTAAATGAGTGATTTATGAAGGGGGGAGAGAGAGGAAGGGGGGTGGCAAGGAGAGAGAGAAGAAAAAGGAGGAAGGAAAAGGCGAAGAGGGGAGGGGAAGCGGGAGTAAGAAAATGCACACAAGCAAAGGGCATTTAAAAAGGCATTTGTAATCAACCCATTATTTGTATATGACTGAAGCCAGTGATTACTGGAGAAACTGATACATCCAAAAAAAAAAAAAAAGCATCTCCCTAGTTCTAAGTACAACCATCTATAGCACTTACTCCCTAAACATTCTGAAATGTCTAGCCTTCCCATTTCACGTGAAAGTTCACCATGGCAATGGCTGGGTAGCTCAGTTGGTTAGAGCACCTCCCTGATACACAAAGGTTGTGGGTTCAATCCCAGGTCAGGACGCATACAAGAATCAATAAATAAGTGGAACAAATCAATGTTTCTCTCAATCTCTCCCCCTTCTTCTCTTTTTCTAAAATAACAATAAACAAATAACAGAAATTTTACCACAATGTAATGTTAATATAGATGCAGGAAAAAATAAGTAGGAAATGAATCTGATATAATTAAGTCTTAGAATAACTTAGAACCCTTAATAGTCTATCATTTCTTGATAATGTGCTATCACTGATGTTGAAAGGGCTATCAAAAGTATGAAAAATAAATACAACATAACACCTAAATCATGATCTATGTTAAAAGCACAAAAGTGTGCCCTGGCTGGTTTGACTCAGTGGATAGAGCGTGGGCCTGCAGACTGGAGGGTCCTGGGTTTGATTCAGGTCAAGGGCACATTCCTGGGTTGCAGGCTCAATCCCCAGTGGGGGGCATGCAGGAGGCAGCCAATCAATGATTCTCTCTCATCATTGATATTTCTATCTTTCTCTCCCTCTCCCTCTCTGAAATCAATAAAAATATTTTTTTTTTAAAAAAAGCACAAAAATGTGTTAGATTTCTCAAAAACACAATGGACAAAAATATCGCAGGACAGAGTATACCAATCTTGAAGATAGCACTACAAGAAAATTCCTTCTAAAACATATAATACTTAACATATTCACTGTATTTATTTTGGGATTTAAAGCAACAACCAAAAGAGCACTTCTACCTCAAAACAAATGTCACAATAAAATTTAAAAAATTTTTGTGACTAATAGAACGTAACAAGCTTAAAAGTTTACTTCATTTTTAAAAAATTATTATGCTTTAAAAATCAGTAAAAATTTTAAGCATCATTACTTCTTGTTGTTGTTAATTCTCACCTGAGGACATTTTTCCCATTGAGAGAGAGTGGGAGGGAGGGAAGATGTGAGACACACATCCACTGGTTGCCTCCAGCAAGCACCCGGACCAAGGACCAACTGACCAAATAGGGCCAGGGAGCGAACCCAAAACCAGGTACTTGCCTTTGTCTGTAATCAAACCTGGAACTCTTTGGTTTGATGCTCTAACCATTGAGCACACCAGCCAGGGCTAAGCATCATTACTTTTAAGCTGTACTGTCAGAAGCATAACTACAGTGATCCCCCCCCTTTTAATTAACTTATTGGGGGTGACACTCGTTAACAAAATTATACAGGGTACAGGTGCACAATTCCACAACATCTGTACATTGTATTGTGTGTTCACCACCTCAAGTCTTCTTCCATCAACACTATACACTCCACCTCCTTACATCAAGTATAAATATGTTCGGTAAGAGCTAATAAATGGCATAAATCCCTCTACAAGGCTGTTGTCATTACAATAGGAAAATTGGGAGCATAGAAAAAATTTAAGTCCAAAATAATCAATACTAAATACTTTTTGAATTGCAATTTTTTTAAAGCAAAATACCAATCATGGGCAGCCTCTCAACTTTCATCACACAAGAAATTAAGTTGTAAGAAATTAGCTAAGTTTTTAGTACTACTGATTACTAGGAGGTTCCCTAAGAGAAAACTTATACAGTAACAGGGAGTTCTTCTGGTATAACATCAGAAGTGTATTTTAATAACACTTTTTAACGTTACTAACATCTTTTCTTAAAGGCAGGAATAATGGAAATGCTGAGCATTTAAAATCAGTAGTTTTAAAATGATACTCAAAAATTTGCATTTGCCTAACACTTACCATGAAACTTTTAAGGTTAACACACATTGAAAAAAAGAGAAGAAAAAGGAAATGAAAGAAAGAAAAGGAAAAGGAAATTTGAATCTAAAACACCTTCAACTTACTACATTTCTTTTAACCAAAGATTAACAGAGTTCCTAACAGGCCAGGCACTACTTTGGGAATTATGACAAATTACAACATGTATTCCAAATGAAATCCTGTGTTATTCAGCTTCTGAATGTATTACCTATTATTCAACCCAACATTTTTCTTAAGAAATTCTTATCCAACATCAAGCAAGGTATACATTTTTCTTAACAAACTCACTTGTCACTGTTTTACACAGGTCACAGGCGTTAGTCACACCTGTGACTCACAAAAAGGGATTCCTTTATGAAACATCCCTGGTTGTCTTTTTGTTTACATGAAGGTGAGCTAGGAATCCAGCAGATACACACATTTTAGGTGTTTTAAGCACCTCAAACTCAAGAAGGAAAAGCCTAAAAAATCACTGGATTGAACATAATTCCTTTGTATAGCTGATAAACATTTCAGCAGCCACCGCTTTTTCTTTCTGCCATAAACACAAGCCTTACAATTTTTAAAAGCACTCCTGCCTCTGAAGAAAAGCGAAGTAAACTTGTTTAAAAATAGTTCAAAGGAACTGTCAAAAGTGGACGGCATTTACATTTAGACAGACTATCGGTTGCACTTCTGTCCTTGTGCACACACTCTACCCGCTCCACACGCACTTCTGAACGTGGATGAAAATACTGCTGCCCCCAAGTCCCACCAGTTGAACCTGGACACCCAGGGGCCCAAGGCTTTTCTCCTAAACTGTTTAACAACATCACAGCGTCCAATCACACCGTCTCCACAGGGAACAGCCTGCACTCGTACTGCTGTCACTTCTTCCACCAATGAAGCAAATTCCACTTCTCGGACAATATCCTCCTTCAGTTAACACGTTCACATTTAAGAGGAACCTGGCCATCGGTGTCATCGCAAAGCAACACTACACCTGACAATTCCCAGACCAGATGTAGTTCAACAAAGACGTACACACGGAGCCCTCCTACATCCCCGGAAATGCCAGGGACAGGTGCCATCTCCGAGCTGTGCAAAGATCATCAAAATCCTCTTTCAAAAAATCTTTGCGTCAAGCTGGTATTTTCGTGGCCAATCAAGTAGGTCCGCTAAAAGCTCACGGCACGGTTCACACAATCAATGGGGTTTCCTTACATCCGTGTAACCGCTAGAACCCCAATGCAGTTCAGGTTCTCGAGTCGGATTACGTGACCTGCTTTTTCTGCTTTACCCTTAGAAACACTCTCCTGCATGCAATTATTCCCTCTCATTTCCGGCAAAAAGAGGCGCCCGAAACACGGGACAGCCATCCTCAGTGCGAGATCCCCAAAACTGGCTCCAACTCCTCGGCACCGCGCACCGACAACCGCCCCACTAACTCTCGTCCCCCCCGAAAAGGGCTCGCACCCCAAGCCCAAACCCAGCGCTCGGAGGGCCCAGCGCACGCCCTCGACCCGACCCCTCGCTTCCTGGATTCTGCGGCCCCAGAGGTTCCTTTTCCGCAGCGATCTTACCTTCATGGTGATGCCGGGACCGCGGCGCCCTCCAAAACACCAGATTCACCTGCACCTGGGGGGACACAAAAGGCACCGTCACCGCCACGGGCACCCCGGGCCC